ATTTCGTTTATCATAAAAGTTATTGGCCATAGAGATACATGTTTGTTTTTCGTAATAGCACCATCAGTATTAAGTATCATAGTAAAGGACTCTTCTGATTCTGAATTTAGTATATGACCATACTTTGTTGCTTGAAAATTTTCTCTATAAATCTTTCGTTGATGTTTCATTTGATTAAATATATTTGACATGAGTAGCAAATGTTGAAGTTGTTCCACAATGGAATACTAATAAAATTCTATCATAACACTGGATTTACATTGAAAACATTCAGAACACTTCTGGTCGATGGTTTTTATACCACAGGCGTTACAAATTTTATAACAAAACCATTTCGATGAGACATCTAATTTTATTTTTCTTTTAATAGATTTCCAAGAAGTAGGTATATCAGGACCATTTAATGCTTTCAAAAACCTACAATATGTATTTATGTCACTGTCATTGTGTTGCCTTCGAACGTTAAAGATGACAGCTGATGCAGCAACATCACTACGAGTTGGTTGCGATCGTCGTAACAATGTTGACGTACATTCTAAACAAATGTATCTCTATCTAGCAAAATGAGATGAATTTCGCTTCGTCTAAAGTTGAATCTATCCAGATGCAATTATAGATTTTGTGGTTTTGGTATAAATGGCAATTAGCAAATAAAACTTACTTGTATATTTCAAATTCAAAATATCCTCAACACATAACCAACTATGCTAAGATCTATACAAAATCAAAAATAATATTTAATTTTACCATTTATTATCTCGCTAGTTATCGTTGCCAATGGATCCGTTGATTCAATACGTTCTGGTTTGAATTCCTTAATTTCTTCGACTTTCATAGGTGCAGATGATATAGACTCTAGAATCAATAGTTATATTTAAGAAGTGTTAAAAGAAATATCTCCATACCACTTTGATTTTCAAATATTTCTTAAGATTGATTGATGGTAGATGGCTTGGAAGTAATGGAATCATATTTTAATTGTTCCCATTGTTGTAATCGAGTTAGATGTCTATAAAAAGTCCTTCGACTCATCTTTAAAAAAATGAAAAATGCAGAATTGAAACAAGAACATAAGAACTGAAAATTCTGCTGTGAAAAATTGAATCCTACTTTGATATGTTGTCAAACTTCGACATTATCTTGACAAATTTAGCAAGTTTAAGATGAAGTTATTATTTATATGTTTATTAACTATTATGAATTGAATCAACAATGCTTAATCATACAACAACATGATCAAGCTGAATCTTGATATATTACTCATAATGAATAAATCGACAAAAACCAACGAAAAATCAAAAATACACAATAAATGAACATCAGTAATCAAGTACAATAATGTGTTTAACTGTAGAGGAAATGGTATTTAAGTAAGAGCAAAAGAAGAAAGACTTCAATGTATTACAGGCATAAAACAAAGAAATATATGTAAAAAATGAAAAGAAAATACTGCTTAATAAAAATATTGTTTATTTACTTGACAACATATTGTTCCTGATTATATCACAAATGTAATATTTTATTGTTAGTAACAACCATAAGATTATCATTTTATTGTTGAAACATTTAAAGAGAAGCAAGTTTATTGGCTTTTCTCTTGTTACCACTTTTCATATTATGACATTTACCAGTAATACAACCTGAAAATTCTGTATTGGTGAACACAGCAATAGGACAAACAGTTTTGACATAAGCTAAAATAGATGAGATAATGTATAAAAAACTTTCATATATACATAAAATAAGTGCTCTTCTACTAATATTACATTGATATCAAATGAAAGTTATCTATACTAGCAGATATTGAAAACAAAATTTTCGCTTATGATTTTCACCTGAAATATTATCAATCAAATCTTTATTACGAGTTCGAAGTGATGTATAATTTTCATATTGCAAATCTACATTCTTGAAACAAGCTTGTATTAAACTGACAACAATTTTTTTCCATGGTAATCGTCCATTACGAGTTGCTTCTAATAATTCAAAATTAGTAAGACCTAACAGTTGCCCATACTAAATCGAAAAACGATAAATTGACAATAAAAAATGCTAATATCGTATTAAAATTAACTCACATTAATTGTTCTTGTTTGTGCTAATTCATCATGCATATCAACAACAGCCAACACACGGCGCAAATAATCACTTTTTTCAGTTGTTGGAAATGCTAAAATTAGTAAAAATATCTTTACTGACCCAAATTAATTAACAACAAATAACTTACGAACGGATGTATGTTTCAATTCTTTCAATTGATTTTCCAGATCAAGAATTCGTTTTCTATTACTCTTTAATTCAAGTTGAATATGACGAGGTAAAATTAATTCATCATCCGATTCTATATTATCATTAGAAATAGTGTCATTTTCTTGTCGATCAACTCCTATTAATTTTGTTCGTTGTTGAGATTGATCCAAATCAGCTGAACATTTCGACGACATATTATTGTCAAAGGAATCATTATTAGAAAAGTCTACAACAATTAAAGACTCCATAGTTGAAACGGATGATTCAGGTTCATCATTGGTATTATTTTCATTAGGTTGTCGCTTGTGATTATCAAATGCATTTTGTTGATTGTTTTGTGTTGTTTTTATCAATTTGAGTTGATTTCTTAACAATCACAATTGATGAATTTGTCTTAATTTGCTTTCTAGTAATCTCAGATTTTTCTGATTCATTTTTTTGCTTTTTTTGTTTAAACGTTGTACATTTCGTTACTTTGTTATTGATATTGGATTCGAAGACAATAGTAGGCAACCATGTTGACTTATCAACTGTTAAAGAAGTATCATCCCCACAATATTCTTCACATTCCTTGAATGTTTCTATTAATAGTCGTCAAGAAGAATATGATATAATATACAAGTAAATATATGGTTTTATCTAATCTTACCTTTAAACAGGAGTTTACCTTGAAGACGTCGATGTCTATCATTTTTATCAACAAATAAATAATTAACATTTACTTTCATTTTCGCGTTTTTTGCTGAGTGTATGCAGCTTGCTGGAACAAAACTTACTTCATTTCCATCAAATTTAACTACACATACCGAATCCATTGCTTATAATCTGAAAATAATAAATGGGTTAATATCAATGTTAGATATCAGTTTTTATAAGGTAAAAAAGCTAAGCGTAGGGTGAACATTGTCATATAGCTATTCTTATTGTATCTAGCATGTCAAACAGGTGGCTGCTGCATAGCCATGTATATATAAAAGAATAACCTTTTAAACTCAAGGAACAATCCAGAGTATGATTGCTATTCTAATGGTAATTATTTTTAAGTATCCAGCGAACTAAAGTTAGTTGGATGAGATCACCAAATCAAAGTGGAGAAGCACTAAAAAACTGAATTTCAAGCAGTTTCGGCTCATCAAAATTGAATTGACTAATGAAAACTGTTTTGTCGCTAGATTTGCTGAGAGAGAGTAATCAAAATTTCGATAGACTCAGAATGCTCGAAATTATATCGAGTAATCGAAGGTAGTTGTCGGATGGGTTTTTCCTTTTCGAGTACTCGGTAATTCGATGGTTCTCGAGTGGTCGAAATGTATCCGAGCAGCCGCAAATAAATGTCCAATAGGAGTATGTTTCCGAGAGGTCGATATTCAATGGGTACCGAGGGGCTCGAATATTGAACAGAACGAAAAAAAAAATATATGTGAAGTTTCGACCACTGGTTGCATCCATCGTTAGTTTTTTTTTGTTTGCTTGGGTGATCAGAAATTTTCCATAAAATATAACGAAATGTTACGAATTTTTATATCACCAAACGTGCACTATAAAATTTACTACCTTCAATATATTCCAGATTATAAATGATAATCTAATATACATTGATTTGCTATATTCAATATTGTTTCCTTTTAGAAGTATTCTAACTTTTATTATCAAATATATCTTTAATAGTCAACATGTTTTTTTTTAATCATAATTATTTTGATAATAATATAAGAAATGTCAATTATCAATTCGATTTTCAAAATTTTCAATAAAATTTATCATTACAATGCTTTAAATATTTATTAAACATTTAACGTTCTCTGAAACAGTTATCTTGGTATCTGAAAATTATATGTCAACACAACACATTTTAACAGTCAATAACGGACATATGCATAACTCTAAATCTTCAATTTAAAGAGAGTGTACTCTCGACCAAAAAACCAATGAAACATTCTCGCTAACAGTTTTGTTGCATGGTGATCGGGAAACAATTATGATTATTTTCAATTTATCTATAAATAAAACCTCAATAACATTAATTGTTTTTTTTTATTGTTCCAAAGTACTAATTAACTACTTGAAATAAAATTTATATAAATTATAGTACTACTGTTTTTATTTTACAAAATGGTCACAAAAAACACTCGATTGTCTTTATTAATCGAAACGACCACATACAAATTATAGTATGTTTATACTATTTTAACATAAATGAACTCACAGTGTCTGTAATGGGGAAGGCGGTGCCGTCAAAACTTGACTTTAAAACTTACACTCACTATTCTCTTCGAAAATATATGTAAGTTCCACAAAATACTGATTTGAGTGTGGATATAGGTGTGAATATTAATATCTTCTTCAATCCACACCCTACATATACACGTATATAAGATCAATACTTTTTCTTTCGACGACGACATTATATCGATCTACGTCAGACGAGAAAAAAAAAAGTTAATAAAACACACACATATCACCACATAAAAATTGATCATCAAATCAATTATGTAGTGTTATATGTTGAACATATCAATTCACGTGTGTGGAATGATTGATAAAAAATCAATCAATTAACCATAGGGTATATAAAAACATCGATGCATCATCATAAAACATTACATTCGTGTTTTCTCAATATGATGCATTACAATGTAATTATATACCCGGGTACATTATTTATTATTATATTATTTACAATGATAATGATATTATTATATTTTAAATAAGATAAATTACTTGTCTTTATATTTAACAATACTTTTTTTTAGATGAACTACGATATAATACAATATTGAGAGGTAGGAAAAAAATTTTTTTTTACATGCTGAGTTGAGTTGAGATAACTTATTTCGAGAAAAAATAAATATTGTCTGTTATTTATGAGTATGAGTATAAGTTTATTTGAGATGAGTTGAGTTGAGTTATCAATGTCGGTCAGATAGCTACGTTGTCTGATTCAATAGGCAGAGTAACTTTGCCATAGCGAAGCAGTGTAGTACTAGGGAAGGCCTTTATGTGTCGTTGGTCCCTACCGTTCATACAGCATACCTTCGGCCATTGCCCTACCAGTCCGGCGTGGTTCGCCTGTGGTACCTATGACATTGACAAGGGATCTCTCCCTTGTCGCGCGCGCGCGAGTAAGCCAAAATGAGCCGAGGAAAGTCGAAATGAATAGCAATGTGAATAAATTTATTGAGCAAGCAAAACCAACCGTTTACATTTTCTTTTTAACATGATCAATGTTATCTTTCGTTTCTTTAATTAGAGGATGTGCTGGCGGAAGTGATTTTTGACGGATAGCAAGTGCCTTTTCTAAGAGTGAGAGTGCTTTCGGATAATCACCTTTGAGGAAATATGTAGCACCAATGTTGTTGTAGGAAGTAGCCAAATCTGGATGATTCGAAGATAGACCTTTTTCTCTTATTTGAAGTGCTTTTTCGTAAAATTCAAGTGCTTTCGAGTAGTCACTCATGTTGTTATACGCTAGACCGATGTTGCTGTAGGAAGTAGCTAAATTGGGATGATTTGGAGGCAGAGCTTTTTCAAGGATTTGATGTGATTTTTCGTAAAATTCAAGTGCTTTCGAATAGTCATTCATGTTGTCATACACGAGACCGATGTTGTTGTAGGAACGAGCCAAATTAGGATGATTTGGAGGCAGAGCTTTTTCAAGGATTTGATGTGATTTTTCGTAAAATTCAAGTGCTTTCGAATAGTCACCCATGTTGTCATACACGAGGCCGATGTTGTTGTAGGAACTAGCCAAATTGGGATGATTTGGAGGCAGAGCTTTTTCAAGAATGTTATATGATTTTTCGTAAAATTCAAGTGCTTTCGAGTAGTCACCCATGTTGTCATACACTCCACCGATGTTGTTGTAGGAAGTAGCCAAATCGGGATGATTCGGAGGCAGAACTTTTTCTCTTATTTTAAGTGATTTTTCGTAAAATTCGAGTGCTTTCGAGTAGTCACCCATGTCCTTATACACTCCACCGATGTTGTTGTAGGACAGAGCCAAATCCGGGTCATCAGGAAACAAAGCTTTTTCTTTTATTTTAATTGTTTTTTTGTAGAATTCCACTGCTTTAGAGTAGTCACCCATGTTTTTATATGCGAGACCAATGTTGTTGTAGGTATTAGCCAATGAAGGGTGATCTTCCGGGAGAGTTTTCCGATAGATTTCGAGGGATTTTTTGTAAAACATAATTTCGTTTTCATATTGACCCTGTTGCCCTTTCACTGAACCTACCTCGTGATAGATATGTGCTTTATCACTGTCGTTGGATGCCTGTTCTAGTAGTGCCATGTACAATTCTTCGGCCTTGTCAAATTGACCGATTTTGAGCAGTAAGTGACCCATTCGATACCATCCAGTGCCGCCGATCTCTTTTCGTATACGGTCGGTTAATTGACGAAGTTGTTGATCATCATCTGAGGTAAGTTTAAGATCCACTGCATAAAGTGAACTTTTCTTATCAAGTTTTCGAATGTCACCAATTCGAAAAACGCTGTGCATGGAGAAGAGAATTTCCTTTTCGCCCTTGTAATAACTCACCTCCTCGATGGAGGCGAAAGGAGTCGTTGAAATTGTAAGATCAATAATTATTTGAAACAGAATACCGACCATGTCGGTTGAGCGTAAAGAGTTGTTGACGAATTTAATTGAGACATCACGATTTTTGCTGGTAGATAAAAAGTTGTTAAAAGAAATAAGCCCGCCTTTATTATTTGCGAGCTTTTCAAAATCTGTTTTCGAAAGATTTTGTCCTCGAAAGACTGTAAAGATCTTCCCATGATAGTGGCTGATCTGTTCTTTGTGCAAATGTTCAATTTGTCGATGTATATCACATAAAA